CAGTATTAGGGTTGTTGGTTCAAATCCCAGCCACGGTACCTCCTGCCTGGAGTTTGCATGTTCTCCCTGTGCCTACGTGGGTTTCCTCCCTCACTCCAAAGACATACTGGTAAGTAAATTGGCCCTAGTATGTGTATGTAAGATAGGAACCTTAGATTGTATGCAGGGGCATCCCTAGGGTTGGTGTCACCTGGTGTGATAACACTTGCTGACTCCCCCTTCGACGAACCCCACAGAATGGATCAGATCTGCAGACTGAGCATAATGAATCAGACTCCAATCCATTATGCTCCCCAATCCGCAGATCTGATCCATTCTGCGGGGATCGTCAGCATGCAACCTATACGGGGTGACACTGGACCCGCTCCACGAAAAGGTAAGTTGTAAAGAAAGCAGACGATCCTCGCAGGATGGATCAGATCCATCCTGTGGGGATCTCGTCGGCTTGCTTTACAACTTACCTTTTCGTGGATCGGGTCCAGTGTCACCCCGTGAGATAGGTGTCACGCCCTGTGGTAGATGTCACTAGGTGCGGCGCGGACCCCCAGCACCTGCCTCGGGACGCCACTAATTTACGCCCCTTGAGGGTTAGGGACTGATGTGACTGTACAATATATATGTAAAGCGCTGCGTAAATTGACAGCACTATATAAGTACCTGAAATAAATAAAGCAAAAAAGGGGCGCACTCTCCTCATGCATTAGGAATTTATTGAACATGACAAAAGTATATACTCACAAACCAAGAGTCATGTAAACAAACAAGGAACCAATGTGAAAGTCCCAGCAAACAGTGGTCTTGTGACAGGGCACTCTAATGCGTTTCGGGAGACGTGCTGCTCTGAGGGAGTACGTCTCCCGAAACGCGTTAGAATACCCTGTTGCAAGACCACCATTTGCTGGGACTTTCACATTGGTTCCTTGTGTGTTTACATGACTCTTGGTTTGCGAGTATATACTTTTGTCATTTTCAATAAATTCCTTTTTATCATAGTAATGCACGAGGAGAGTGCGCCCTTTTTTTGCTTTCTTCCTGACACATCTCCGTGTAACTCCTACTTTGTTATGCATATATTGTCAAAACTGAGAGTTTACTGCTTCCAAACAAAATCCGTAACAATGCAAAATATGTGTCACAAAAGGCTATAATGGAAGCTGCCTCCGCCCAACTCTCGGCTGGTACCAGCGCTGTAGAATACAGTCAATGCTCTGAAGAAAATATGCAGCTGGGGAGTAAAACTTCAACTGGAAGTTTCTGATTTGTGACAGATCCCTTTCCACCTGTACTAATGCTGGCCATTCACTATCAAAATTTTATTACAAATTTTTAAATTTCAAGGACACTTGCTTGATTTTCTAATTGTTACTGGGGTCCAACTGGCTTTTGTTTTCAACTGCAAGAAAATTCTAAGGAGCAGGATTGAAAATTTTTTTCCTAACAAATTTTTAACAGTGAATATGGTTTTAGTTCAGGAACGAGCATTCCTTTGAAAATTGAATGATAAAAGCAAACAAAATGTTGAAGCACTTTCAAATGACATTTGTGAAGTTATCAAATGTACAGAGAATATTTGTACTAAAATCTACTAGTGTATTGCCAGCTTTAGAAAATATGTGGGTAGCCATTGATGACATCTACTGAATATGCAAAATTCCTTGGCTGTCAAGCTGAACTACAAACTTCTATGTTCTGTTGTCACTTAGTGTTTGGTTGTTCCAGGGTAGTCATTCAACATAGTTACATAGTTATTCTGGCTGAAAAAAGACAAAAGTCCATCCAGTTCAACCATTAAAAAAAAAAAGTTATAATCCTACGCCCACATAATAATGCCAGAGACAGCCAGGCTAGCGTTTTCCGAAAAAGGCCAACTTACATATTTCTCTTACAGGGGCACTCAGGGCTGCTGTTAGAAATCACAGGGCCCCATACAGCCAATCTGACAGGCCCCCCCCCAAAAAAAACCCCCCAGTTATGAATGATCACAGTGACTGAGCACTACCGATCACTCATTGTGTTCATTCAGGAAAGGAAGGAGCTAGTAAATGTGACATTTACTGGACCCTTCTCCCACTCTCCATCCTGAAGGATCCTATTGTGTACTTTCAGCTGTCAGTGAGAAGGAAAGTAGGGAAGCTGGCAGCATTGTGGGTGTCGGGGGCAGGCAGGGGTACCTGGGCTGCAGGGGGAAACATATGGTGTACAGGGAGGGTGATGGGTGCAGCAAGGGCAATTACTGAAACCGATCCCCTGTATGGCTCTCTCTGCAGCAGCTGAAAGCCAGCGGGAGGGAGAGGAGAAGAAGCCAGCTTTCAGCTGCTGCAGAGAGAGCCATACAGGGGATCGGTTCCAGTAATTCACTCCACCAACCCCCCCCCGTGATGATCATCCTCCCTGCTCACACTGGGCATGGTTGAACTGACCTGTGCTTGTGTTAGATTGCCCCCACTCCCTTGCTAGTCTGCGCTCACATTGTGCTTCAAAGGAAGTGTTCCCGGGAATGCTTATGTCATCACCTCTGCCAGAGAGAACACGGTGATCTCAGATTTTGTCCTTAGCGATCTATGGATAGTTCAATGCTCAGGCACAGTTTGCGCTCACACTGAAGCAAACCGCACCAAACTACAATTGAACCTTGCTCCACACCACCTTTTCCAAGCGGTCCCGGGCACAGTATGCTTAACCATACCTGAGCATGGTTGAGAATGCTGCACAAATGAACCAGACCAGGGGGTGAACAATGCTCAGGAAAAGTTAAAACTGCCAGTGCGATTACACCCCTAATACAGGTTTCCCGTAATCACCAGTTTGTAGAATTCTAGTCTAACATGGATGGAAGTGGAAATGTTGCAATAGCTAAGCTCTACCTGCAAAAAAAACTCTTCGGCAGACTATGGAATGAATGTGTTTGTACCAAAATTTTATATATTTTTTTTAAATCTTCTCCCTTTGCATAATGGCTGAATGTCTACCTTGACACTGATGAATAAATAAAAGATGTTGCTCATCACAACCAATGACATCTAGGTTCCAATTTTTTTCTCATGCAGTGCAAAAAGTAGCAGGAATCTGATTGGTATGGACAACAGTATTTATTATATTCTTCATCTCTATCCATGTGCACTCATCCCTGCAGACATCCCATACTACCAGTGTTCCTTGTATATCGGCACACTGTGAAGGGAACTGTTTTGTTGACCAGACGTTATTCCCATTAATCTGATGGTTGGGGTGCTCAGGAAAATTGGTTCAGCACAAATACTAGTTTCTTCTGAGAAAACAACTGAAGTTCACGAAAAGTCAAGTAATTGAGAATTTGTGCCAACATTTCATCCATACTTCAAATACCACACATGCAGTGATGTACATGCATGTGACATCCGTGAGAGAGGCATTACATGTGGTGTGACGACATGAGAGAGAGAGAGGTAAGGGTGATGTGGGTGTGGAATGACAGAGTTTAAGGGGAAATTGTGATTGACAAGCACCCTGCCCCTCCCCATTACAGGTCAAAAGATTAAAATATATATAAATAGTTACTTACATCCCTAGTACCAGAAAGGTGGCAGGGGGTTACATGTAGTGCCACTGCCCTTCCATACCTACGGCCATGCCTAAGCCTCCCATGGCTCCTAGGGGAAGACAGGCAACTAAGACTGCAAGAATAACACTGTGGTACAGTCACCACCCACATGCCATGTATTACCTGTCCTGGTCAGTCCACCCTCTTGCTCACTGCAAAAAGTCAGTGTGGCCACTAAGCTTGCCAGGCACGTACTGCCAAACTGGGAATCCCTTGTGCCCAAGCTCAATAACCGGTTTTAGGCAGTACCTGCAAGACCGTAAACCCAGTTATCACATTATTGGCTAGCCTAAGATCAGAAGCTGACCATACTCTAAACAGATTTTTTTTGTTCAGCCTGAGAGCTAAATGAAAAAAATCAAACAGATTCCTTCATCCACGCTACAAACCTGGATGGACGAATCTCCCACTGAGGTTACTGTGTTCCGACAGCTGGATGTCAAAATACAGTGAGTGCTGCCAAACAATGACTGCAGTTGATTGGCTGTATTCACTCTTCGACCAAGAATAATCCACCTTTTCTAACTGAAGGACATTGGGTGGTAGGATGCTGACAAGGCCACCCACTAATCGAATTTCGTCCATTTCATCACAAACCGGACAAAATTCAATCATTATTAGGCCAGCTTAAGCCTTTGCAGTACAGCATCTTGTCATTTCTCATGGAGAAATATTCAACCCAAAAGCTATCATACATAAGCATCTTAATCTCCTACAGTACTCAGCAAAACAAGACAATAAAGGGGATAACATTAAGACATTATAAACTACAGCAGGACCAATAGTTGCTTGGTTTTGCCACAAGAATATGAGTAAAAGCGGACCGGAAGTAATGCTACCTCTAACATCTTCTGAGCTACAGTGAACCTGTAGTGACAGAAAGATGGAAGCTGCCAAACCTAGTGAGTCACTGAACTGAACATTCATGCAGGATGGGAGTTCAGATCTTCAAACTTGATGGCTGTATGCTTGGTTCCGTGACTCACAAGGTAGTGAAGCTGGGATGGAGATGACAGCGCAAAAGCCTGCATCTTTTATGGGAACATGTCATAGAAAAAAACATGAAGGCTGCAGTGGTGGGCCGTTTGTTGTTAAAAAGTAGGGTGCCCTCCTTGGCTATTGCTAGCAGCCATATTTTCATCATAACAAGTTTACTATATAAACATTTCCACAATGGCAGCTCCACTGTTTCCTTCAGGTTTTTTTTTTTGATCATACATCACTATAATAGTGCCAGGGTACTTTACTAACTCCTTTTGCCTGTGTGACATCAAGTCCCTTCACATAAAGTATATCTAAGGCTACACAGTGTTCTTAAATAGCAGACAAATCTCATCAGAAGTGGAAAAGTGTGACTATCATACAATACTCCTCTATCTGCCCCCTTGTTTCTCCCCCATGTCCCAGTCCCATCTCTCACCTGGTGGGCGGATTCCCATGTGCTGCTGGCCGTCCATGACATATCCCCCCATGTTCTGACCGTCTGGGCTATAAGGTGCACCACCTTGACCTACGGTAACAACGACAATTCATTAGACTGTGCTTTGATGGTTACCATTTGTATTTATCTTTGATGTCTATTCTTTATTTTTGCTATTATATTAATAAACTTCTCTTTCATATTTCACCTAGTTCTATCTATCTGCTCCCATGGGTGATCTGCACACACCTGGAGTACAAAACTGTTGTCTATAGGCTGGCTATGCATAGCGCAGCATACTACAGAATCAAAGTGATCCTGCCATTAAGCTAAACTAAGTGACGTATTTACTAATCCAATGTCTTAACATATCTGTGTAACTTCTTGAAACATTTTTTGGGAGCCCTGAAACCATGGCATGATGTAGAATTTGCGATTTCCCAAACTGCATATGCCTAACCACAGGCTGCAGCAATCTGACATGGAGCCCAGGTTAAAATGTAGAAACTGCACATGCCAAGCATCAGAGACTTCTAAGTAATCCAGAAAAAGATTCCAGAAGGTATATTGATATGTTGGCATGTTGTGGTACCCTTCTAAGCAGACAGATTAGTTGTTTTAGTGACAGGTTTTCTTTAATACCAATGCAGGGAAGTCCAGCTTGATTTCTCTATTAGAAAGAAAACTTGTACTGGGAAAAACAAACAGGCTTCCATAGCTGAACTTTACCTCTGTATTGCCAGTTGCCAGGCTCATCCAAAGGAATTCATCACTTTTTGCATGAATAAATATGCAGATCAGGAGTTCTAACTTCACTGGCTGCATGCTTGTTTTGACTAAAAGACTTGTTACTGAAGCCATAGACAGATACGTATATAGCATTTTCAGATGGCAGTCAACAATGGGTGTCCCACATTGTTCTCATGACAGGTTTTCTTTAAAGTGGGACTTCACTTTCTCAATCAACATCGACTACTTCTAATACTTATACTGCTAGCATTAGTAAATAGATAGGAAAATATGTCATATTAACTTGTTTTAAACTTTTTTTTTACATTTCTTCAGTTGCTTCCTGTTTCCCATGCCTAGGCAAATGATGTCACACATCCCAGGAGTCTTCAAGAGGGGAGGGTTCTCAGTTCAGCCGATGCCTGAGCTAAGGGCAGATGGATTCCAGGAAGTAAATGCTACATGAATCATCTGCCCTTACTCAAGATGGCCATGGTAAGAAATGCCAGGGGGAGTTTTTCAAAATGATTTCTCAGCAAATTAAAGCATGGAGACATGGATGGATGGAGGAGTTTGCTTTGAATATTAAAAGTGAATTATATAGAATTTTTGGTTTGTGGTGCTCAGATGCAGTGCAGTTCCACTTTAAGTGCTGCATTCAGAACAGAAGATTGCATCCAGCATATGGATCATCTATGTTAGAAATACATATTTTCTTGGGTGACAAGATCTGCAGCCCTAATATAAAAGCACTTGATGTAATTTTACATTATAATAGAACCTGGCTCACTATAGTAGAATTCACTAAAAAAAGAGGAAGTAAATTCATTTCTGCATCCTAGGCCAGTGCACTTACCTGTGCGGTTTGATTGGTCAATCATTGGCTGAACAATCCGCCTTCTTGCATTAATGAACCTGTACCCCAAAGAGAAGAAATTAATGGAGATAATGAGAACATTTCTTAGGAGTAGACCATGACAGCACCTTACAATAATAGACTAATTTACCTTGGTAACAAAATTCATTTCTATGGCAATAAATTGCAGCTTTACATTTTATCTCTGTTTATCTATGACACATGCAGAAGATATAGATATTTGTAAGGTGCTGAATTTGGCATCACCAACTTTTAGTGAACAGAATTCTCAGAATATTGGACAGCATGGATAAAAGTGACTGAATAACTGTCCTCATTGCCAACAGTAATAACCAGGTTATCCATTTCCAGTGCAATATGGACAAATGAATAGAAGGATCTGGATGGTTGTTACTGTTATCAAGAACAGTTCTTCTTTCAGAATTTTTAAAAACATTAAACTAGGACTAGGATGAGATTGTGAGACTACTTACCAATTATTGACCTGAAGTATCGTAAGCCCTGTGTCCTGTGCTAGCTGCTTCTTTTGTTCTTCTGAGGGGTATGGGTGCTTAATGGAGAAAAAAAATGGTTACACCAGATTGAATACATAGGATCCAACCCAATCAAAGAGTCAAAAATATCACATAAAACATGAATTTTATTATATGCTTTCATATACAGTCAAAGCTTTGCATGTCTGCTCATTAATCAGACCTGAATAGATAATACAGGAGGTGTAGATAGAGATTTCCTGTCTACTATTCATATAGAAAAACACCACATTCAGTCTTTGCTCTATGTGCTTGGAAGAAGTAATAGTTTATTAAAGCAACACTACTCTGCGAGGCCACGGAATGGATGAATTGAAAATAATATAAAGATTCTCTATGTGCATGGAAGAATTAATAGTTTATTAAAGCACCACTACTCTGCGAATGCCACGGAATGGATGAATTGAAAATAATATAAAGATTCTCTACGTACATGGAAGAATTAATAGTTTATTAAAGCACCACTACTCTGCAAGGACGGAATGGATGAAATGAAAATAATATAAAGATTCTCTATGTGCATGGAAGAATTAATAGTTTATTAAAGCACCACTACTCTGCGAGGCCACGGAATGGATGAAATGAAAATAATATAAAGATTCTCTATGTGTATGGAAGAATTAATAGTTCATTAAAGCACCACTACTCTGCGAGGCCACGGAATGGATGAATTGAAAATAATATAAAGATTCTCTATGTGCATGGAAGAATTAATAGTTTATTAAAGCACCACTACTCTGCGAGGCCAAGAATGGATGAATTGAAAATAATAGATTCTCTATGTGCATGGAAGAATTAATAGTTTATTAAAGCACCACTACTCTGCGAGGCCACGGAATGGATGAATTGAAAATAATATAAAGATTCTCTATGTGCATGGAAGAATTAATAGTTTATTAAAGCACCACTACTCTGCGAGGCCACAGAATGGATTAAATTGAAAATTGAAAATAATATAAAGATTCTCTATGCATGGAAGAATTAATAGTTTAATAAAGCACCACTACTCTGCGAGGCCACAGAATGGATGAAATGAAAATAATATAAAGATTCTCTATGTGTATGGAAGAATTAATAGTTCATTAAAGCACCACTACTCTGCGAGTCCACGGAATGGATGAATTGAAAATAATATAAAGATTCTCTATGTGCATGGAAGAATTAATAGTTTATTAAAGCACCACTGCTCTGCGAGGCCACAGAATGGATGAATTGAAAAAATTGGAAAGATTTCTATGTGCATGGAAGAATTAATAGTTTATTAAAGCACCACTACTCTGCGAGGCCACAGAATGGATTAAATTGAAAATAATATAAAGATTCTCTATGTGCATGGAAGAATTAATAGTTTAATAAAGCACCACTACTCTGCGAGGCCACAGAATGGATGAATTGAAAATAATATAAAGCTTCTCTATGTGTATGGAAGAATTAATAGTTTATTAAAGCAACACTACTCTGTGTGGCCACAGAATGGATGAATTGAAAAAATTATAAAGATTCTCTATGTGCATGGAAGAATTAATAGTTTATTAAAGCACCACTACTCTGCGAGGCCACAGAATGGATGAATTGAAAATAATATAAAGATTCTCTATGTTCATGGAAGAATTAATAGTTTATTAAAGCAGAACTACTTTGCGAGGCCACAGAATGGATGAATTAAAAATAATATAAAGATTCTCTATGTGAGTGGAAGAATTAATAGTTTATTAAAGCAAAACTACTCTGCGAGGCCAGGGAATGGATGAATTGAAAATAATCTAAACATTCTCCAATAAATGTCCAACCATCTGCTTTGTTAAGTGGGAGCAAGAGGGTGACTTTTATGGTGTCCTTCTAGATCTATAGGACAGATGGGACCGGCACAAATAGCGCCTTTCTTTTTCAGGAGCCCAGGAAATGTGCAACTGGCCCTTTGCTTGATCAGGAGGACCTAAAATACAAAACAAAAAAATGGCCATGGAGCTGTCAAGGGCAGCAATGATGGATGGGATTGGGGGTCTTAGGTTGCAGCCAGTTGGAGACCTTTGCTTGACAGGTTAGTGACAGATGAAGGACATGAGTGCAGATGGGGGAGTTGAAGAGCACCGAGGCTAAATGGTTGTTAAGGGTGACCAGGCCACAACTTTTAAAATCTGCAAATATCAGTCTGTAACAAAGTTTTTCCTTTCAAATTTTCTGATGCGCACTTGCATAGTTAACTAAATGGCAATGGAAGACCCAAACTATTTACTGAAGAGTTCCAAAAAAAACAGTATAAACATGCATACATTTGCCTTCTTACTAGGTACTGAGAACATTATCACATAAGAACATTCAGGTTCTGTGGGTATTCTGATACTATTAAGATTAATAGACAAGGCAGATAAGGTGCAAAATGGTTGCTCTACATACTTAATGATTTATAGAAATCGGAACTGCTGGGAGTACCAATCAAATGAAATTTCATTTCCTAGTGCTCATTAGAAGATGAAGGATAACCTAATTAGTTGCTGAGGGCAACAGCCTTAGTTTTCTTCTGCACCAGTGTCCAGCTGCCACAGAATCTCAATAGGCTGACCTTACCTTATGCAGTATTCCCATTTCAGGCTCATTCTAAATATCCGCTAGGTTTGCAAATCTCAAACCTTGCTTCCATAGGAACACAGACTGATGCTTTCACTGTGTAGTTCAAATATGTTAAATACATTATAAACAATGATAGTTGTACCTGCCAGTCTCAGAGGACAGGCAATGTTTGCATGGGTACGATGGAGTGGCTGAAGACCATCAGCATTAAATGGCATTCAGTGAATTTACCGCACAAGTATATTACCACTTGTATTTCTGAATCCTGACAGCTAGTTCTTTTCTATAATTCGGGTTAGCTTACACTTTCATTACAGATGAATACAAATAATTAAAAGAAAATAATACTCTCTCCCGATTCTAGTTTTTCCTTTGACTGAGTATGAATGGTTTACCATGGATGAAGCTTTAAAGGGCATTAGCAAAGATTTTACAGAAGAACATATGCTGTGGATCATGGGAAGCTGTGACAGGCCTAATCCAATTTGAGATGGCAGATGCAAATCAAACGCACAGCATACTGCTCTAGCTACAATTGTGAATGGCCATATAGTTGCCTCTGAACTAACAATAAGCTTGCATCTCTACATACAATTATACTTTATAAAACAATGATTAGTGCATTTTAATGGTGTAAAGTACCCTCCTTAAAGGAAACAGTGCAGAGGTCTTTGTTGGGCTACATGTAGTGTTTGTACCACATCGTATGGTAATGAGTATCCACGTATGAGCACCTATGTGCCACACATTATGGAAAAACACAGTAAAGCACTGTAGATGTGCTTTGGAATCTTATAAATAAATAATTGTACCCCAACACACATCTACAATGCATTGCAATATACCTGTGTTATAGCGTACTGCAATGCGCAGATGCCTATACTACATGCGTACTGTTGCCCTGCACCAGAAATCATACTGAACCTATGTTTATCTCTGCCATTGACACTTCCACCTAGCTGCACTAAGGTTGTCGGTTCAAATCCCAACAACGACGCTACCTACCTGGAGTTTGCATGTTCTCCCTGTATCTGCGTGGGCTTCCTCTGTTACTCCGGTTTCCTCCCAGACTCCTGTCTAAACTGACCCTAGTATGTCTGTGTATGAATGTGAGTTCCGGACCTTAGATTATAAGCTCCTTGAGGGCAGGAACTGATGTGAATGTATATGTGTAAATCTCCTACAGTGTAAGCTCCAAGGAGCTGTTGGCGCTATATAAATCCTGTATAATAATAATATTAATAATAATAATAATAATAAAGTGCTGCATAAATTGATAGCCTATTACCTATAATAAATAAATACAAAATAAATAAACCCATTCATTGTGAATGAGTTTCCTAACATATCTTGCCTGGGTGTACAAAAGCACCTACAAATTGTATTTTGTGAATGGGCCTTTTTTGACATGTTGGGAGACCTGTATTGCCACAGTAATCAATACACCTTTTCCTTACATTTCCAGATTTTTAACACAACTGGCAGCACAGAATATTCTTTGATTGCTTAGACAGAAGTGACGTATCTTAATATAAAGGAGATGTCAGGCAGTGATTTCATGGCCAAGATCCTATCTTATTCACAAATAACTCTACATGTGTCACGATTCTGGCATTTTTTTTCCAATTGACTTTCACACAAGGGTGCTGCAGAATTCTTCACGTCAGTGTGAAATTTTTATAACGTTACTGTGACATGGCCCTAAAATGGAAACATGGGTGATTTTGCTTGAGTTCTGTGAAGGACTCCTCCAGCCAATACTAATATTTCATTTTAGGTGGGTTTAATCAGGGGCATAGCAGTTGCACATGAAGCTAGGCCCTTGCACTTGGTCTTGTGACAACTGATATCATATCAAGTTAAGCTGGCAATAGACAGCTCTTAACAGGCCAAGATTCAAACCATGTATGGGCAGGCTGATTACACCCAAGGTGATCGATTAATAAACTTGGTTACAGCCAGCCTGTCAGAATTTTCATGCCATTTTTGCCAGTGGCTATAGTCGTAGCGATAATCGCTGTGTGTTCTCCCATCCGGGACTGCTCCCCCCTCCCGCAAAGAGAACACAACAGCTCCACGTGAGGGATTCCTCCATCAACACTGACTGTGATGGGGGAATCAAGCAAAAATTGCACCATCGATGGCTGGCTTAAGATAGAGGAATGGTCCAGACTTTGAACTGGGGCACCAACATCTGTAGATAAGCCACAACGTTTGACCGCATGCAAATGTTGATATAACCCTCTTGTATTGAACTGTATTGTGGCTGTATTGTCTCCCGATATATTGTAAAGTGCTGAGCAAACTGTTGGCGCGATATAAATCCTGTATAATAATAATCCTTTTGAGACTAGAGTGGTCCGATTGTCTTTGCCCCATCCTATATTAAAGGAATGTCCTAGATTCTAAGCTCGAAAGAGCAGGGCCCTTGAACCCCTTGTGTTTT